TAGAAGAATCCCAACATAAATTAATGATTAGACAAGAAAATTCCTGCATTATGCATTGTCACTTACATTTTTTCAGTATAAAATTGAACTACAACGAGCTGGCGAAGTGTTATGTTGATTGCAAATTGCACATATTCCATTTCAACAGTTTCTTTTAAAATTAAACTCGTCGACCATAATTTTTATTTAAATGATGTGTTACGTATTATATAATAACAGATACAAAACCTGACAATTAATTACCGTATAATATTAATAAGAATTTACTATTGATGAAGAGACAAAGAGACCAAATGAATAAATATTATCTTAATTAGAAATTATGGTAAATATTAAAATATGTATACATATCTGAATTATCTGTAAAGCTCTACTGAAATTTTCTGTTGTTAATATATGACCTGAATATCTGAATTGAGATTTGGATATACTATATTTTAATAAGACATACCAATACCGTATCATAATAAAAATTTATTATGTAAGCGTTATCCTGTATTGATCTCAGAATCAGCATGATGTCAGTTTTTTCATATAATTCTCTATTAATGATATCATTGATTTAAGTGAATAATTGAGATACTGAAAATACTTGAACATTTAACTATATATAGCTTTTATCAAAATCACGATTAATCAAGTTTTAATTGACAATTATTAAGCTAATCTTGATTAAAACCTGATTAATCCTCTTTGCTTACTATATTATTTGATCATAAAAACTTTATCGTAATCAAGATACATATTTATAGCAAGAGGTAGTGTTATACTGAGACAGATTTGGGACAAGTTTAAGACCTTTAAAAAAAACATTATTATCATTATATAACTTCTCTGATTAAAAATTAAGGGACAAGGTTGGGACGTCCCAGAACGGAACAAGGCCGAAAAGGCTCAGGACCATCAAAATGTACAACACTGGCAAGAGGCGTACAAATGTCAGTGTACTATATATATTGCACGTATATAATTACGTGGTGTTTCTTATTTCAAAATTTCAATTACCATGTCTCCTGAACGTAATAAATATCCTAAAAAAAATCCTTTTTCACTTCGACAAAATAATACTAAATATACATATAATATTATCAATGAAGGATATTATCCTCCAAAAAATATGCTACGCTATACCTCAAATCACAATACTGGTAGTGGTAAAACTTAATATAAAATTTCAGATGGATATTTAGTTGAAACTAGTTGGGGAAGGAAATTACGACATACAATAGAATGTGAAATTGAATATGATTCAGAAGGTCCAGTCTTTATAATTAGATTTAATGAAAATTCTCAACAACATGTTATACAATCGAAAGAGTCTTCATCTAATGTTGCCACTGAGTATTTACGAGTTAGTACAACTTCTTTAATAAAATTTTACATAATTTTATTTTATAAAAATTTGTCATTTTTCATATAGAAAAAAGGTTCTATTAATCGTGCAAGAATTTCTGGCATTCACATGTTTGGTCTAAATGCCATGGATGTTGAACAAGAGCGTGAACGTAAAAGAAAAGAGAATAGACCATGTTCCCTTAAACCGTTTAGTGTGCTAAGCGAATCTATGAAAACAAAACGTTCTCGTGCATTTTCTCTGCACATAAATAAAGCCTTTGAAAAGGGATCTCTCAAATTTTTTAATCCAAATGATCAACCAATTTTAAAAAAAATTCGATTTAATGTTCAAGGCAAGAATTATCTAGTTGATTATTGTAAAGAAAAGGAAGATCAGAATATTAATGCATTTGTATACGTTATTGACCAAAATTTAATTTCCCAAGATGCCTACCGTGATCTATCTGCACTTGAACCCGATTTACCATGAGAACATAATATTTCAAATGCTAGAAAAAAAATAAATGAAGAAATGAATGAAAAGATTCCGATTTTTATTTTAGATCTCAAAAATATTTCTATTACAACAACTAATGAAATATCGCATATTGATGACGAAGAAATTGAAGAGGAAATGCTGAAATATGTTGGAAAAGCAGGATATAGGAAGATTATGGACATTTTGCTCTTTGTTATTCCAGGTCTTATAGACCAGAACATTCTTAATATAAGCAACCCAGTTATTCACATCCGTATTTCAGGTGATGGGCACAACGTTGGCAGGAAGATAAAACATGTAATGATTACGTGTGCTATCTTAGATGACATCTTAAATATTCATAGAGCTGAATTTCACTATACAATAATTTTATATTCTGGCAACGAAAACTACGAAATACTACAAAAAGTAATAGAACCAATGATCAATGAACTACATAATCTAGTAACTAATGGGTTAGATTCTAGTGGAACATGATGGAAGATCATTCCATATTTCAGTAGCAACTGAAAATTCCTGAGTATAATTTTGGGGTTCAATGCAGCAAATGTGAATTACTTTTGCCCTTGGTGTCTGTGCTCGAAGAAGGAAATTGGTATCAAGGACAAGGTAAAAACGATAGAAAAAACTATGGAACAACTTCAAACTGCAAAACCGCCACCTGGTTATTCCAAAGCACCTCTTCTTTATATGATTCCCTTGGAATATTATGTGCCCGATCTGCTTCATGTAATGTTAAAGATTTGGGATCGTATATGGTCATTAGTAATCCAAGAGCTTAAATCTGAAAATAGATACGATGATTATATTAGAGCAATAATTAGTTCAGAAATGCAAAGAATTTCTGTTAAATTTCATTTTTGGCAAGACCATAATACACAAAATTGGAATAACACTCCCTTAATGAAAGATGACAAAGAACTTGTATTACGTAATTTCAATTTTGAATTAATTTTT